AAATTCTCAGCCACCAATAATGTTGTTGAATTTGAGCACTTGTCATTGGATTAAAGCTTGTCATCAACTATGAAGTACGAAACATGATTATCAACACTGATTCCCAACTCGTTGCATCCCAAGTAGAAGAAGAATTTGACACTCATAACTCATAACTGACGCATTATCTCAATTTGGTAAAAACATTTCTCGCCAAAATTGAAACATGCCAGCTCATTTATATACTTCGGGAGCATAACACCCGAGTTGATACCCTCTCCAAGCTTGCAACTTCAACAACTGGAGTTCTCTATAAAAGAAGGTATATTGAGGAAATACATTTTCCTAGCATCCATGGCCCATGGGAGATAATGTTTATAGATGACCCAAGGGAGCCATCTTGGATGAATCTTATCATCTCCTTCCTCCGAGATGGAACACTGTTAGATGATGCTACTACATCAATTTGCATCCGATGCATGGCTGCCAACTTCATCCTTATAGAGGATGAACGTTACAAGAAGGCATTTTTAGGTCAATATCTCAAGTGTCTTCCTCCATCTGAAGCTGATTATGCTCTACGAGAAGTTCATTCCGGAATATGTGAGGAGCATCTTGGCGGCAGGGCACGTGCTCTTAGAATAATGAGGTAAGGCTTCTACTAGCCCAAGATCAAGCAAACATGTATTAGAGTTTGTGCAAAAATACAAAAATTGCCAATTACACTCCAATCTTACACATGCACCTCCAGTGGAACTCACTTCTTTTCTAAGTCCTTGGACTTTTGCTCAATGGGGGGTAGATATCATGGGGTCATTTCCGATAGCTACTAGACAACGAAAATTCATCATCTTAGTTGTCGACTGCTTCACCAAATGGGTAGAAGCAGAGCTGCTTGCCAAAATCACAGAAGCAAATGCCAAACAATTTATCTGGAAAAAATATCATCTGTCGCTTTGGACTCCCCGCGAAGATTATAACCGATAATGAGACTCAATTCACTGGAAGGGTTTTCACATCATTCTGCAAGGATCTTCACATTCAGTTGGTGCACACTGTTCGGTGCACACTGTCGTGGCGCATCCCCAAACAAATGGGCAGACAGAGGTGACAAATCGGACGGTGCTCAAGGGGTTGAAGACTCATCTTGAGAAGGCTGGGGGGCAGTGGGTAGAAGAGCTACACAACGTCCTTTGGGCCTATCGCACAACCACACGTACTCCAACTTGGGAGACTCCATATAACTTGTGTTGCAGCACTAAGGCTGTTATCCCAGTTGATATCGGAATTCTAAACCCACGAGTTAAGACTTTCAACTCAGATAGCAGCGAGGAAAAGCTCCGACAACATTTGGATCTCCTCCCAAGATCTCCTCCCAGCCCATCTTAGAGCTGCTTCCTACCGCTAAAGAGTTGCTCGCCACTTCAACCGGAGAGTCAAGCCTCGACCTATCTCTGTTGGTGACCTGGTCTTGCGTACCGGTCTTGCGTAGTATTGAAGCCGCCGATCATGGTCCCCAACGCTACAAACTATCACCTCTCTGGGAAGACCCATATATCATGACTGCCATGATCAAGCCTGGAACCTTCAAGCTCAAGGGTTCAGATGGGAAAATCTTGCCTCGAACTTGGAATAACTTGGAATGTCGAACTTGGAATGCAGAAAATCTTCGCAAGTACTATCAGTAACATCCCAGTCGTACATTCCATATATGTTATTACATTACAACTCATGTATAATCAATATATCTTAAACATTATTCACTTACTTTCTTATACATAAATGATATTTTTAGAAAGTATAATGACTCATCCATGAGCCACTTCATGCTTTCGACCCGAGAAATACACAACTTTAGTTGTTTATTAGTCAGAGCACGATCAATCCCAGGGGGATTTGATCTAACCTACTCCATATGGGTTAACATCGTGGAGTTTTTACTCCGATAAACAATCTTGGATAGGTTAACAGTCCTTGGTGGACTACACCTGACCCTTTCCACACAGGTTTGTAAGTGAGCAATGCTTCGACAAACAACGACAAACAACCTCAGAACAACCTCAGATGGGTTAATAAGTCCTCGGTGGACTTTCATTGGCTCATCTTATGCAGGTTAACATCTTCAAGTAACACTCTGATGCATAGCATCGAAAGGGTTAATGGTCGCTGGCAATTTATCCACATGATAACCTTGTTACATATTAGAATTTCTAAATGACATTAAATATCCACTGTGACATTAAAAAAAAAAACCCATGAATCCTTCTTCAGTGAACCATTTTTACCACTCCTCAATAATGTACATAATCCGCGATGCTTCACCACCACCCGTTGCATCGCCACAACGCATCGTCGCGACGCACTGCCACACCGCTGCAACGCTTCGCCGCGACGCACCGCTGCAACGCGTCGCTGTGACACGTCGCTGAAACACGTTGCATGGCCCCAATGTTTTGCTGCAACACTTTGCTGCAACGCTTCACTACAACACTTCGTCGCAACGCTTCACCGCAACTCTACACCACAACTGTCTGCTTCGCGACAACTTTTCTCCACAGCTCTCCGCCTTGCCGCAACTCTTTGCTTCGCCGCAACTCTTCGCTCACAACTCTTTGCTTCGCTGCAACTCTTCGTTCCGCAACAAATATTCTCCGCAACGCCGGATAATTTTCTTCTCCTCCTCACTTGTGATTTTTCCCCTCATCCAATGTCTCTATTTATAGGCATGATATGACACATAACATAAAATGCACATTATTAAAAAAATATAATATTATTAATTTTTTTTTCATATTCCTTCAGCTTTTTGACCTTTCAAATTCTGTCTTTATGGTTGAAATTAATTAAAATCATTAATAATAATAACAATAAAATGATAGAATTTCATAAGTTGTTGTTTTAAATTCTATTAATTTAATCAATTATTCCTTTGTGGCCTTTGGGATTCTTTTTTTTTTAAATTAATTAATTAAATCCAGATTCCTAGCTGTCAATGACCCTTCGGATTCAACTCCCAACGACAGATTCAGGGCAACGCTTCAGCTCCCACCATTGGTCCAGTTTCAGGTCCCGTCGGGCCCATTCCTTCAGATCCCGCTGGATCCCGCCTCTTCAGCCCGACCCGCTCCTTCCTTCGGATCCTGCTCAAGGCCTAGGCCGGCTTCCTTTGGATCCCGCTCCTTCACCTAACAAAATAAATTTATATAAATATATATGTCTTTGGCGGGAATTGATCACGCGCCACCTGCAAATGACAAAAAGAACACACAAACTGAGCTAGACTCAATTAAGTATTTTATCCTAGATAAACAATAATTTAATTTATATACGGATTGTAATAAAGTATATATATCTAAAATTTTTATGCCCAACAAAAATGAAAAAAAAACTTCTAATCTAGATATTTTCGGACGATGAAATTGGTCTCGCCTAGAAATAGGGGGCAACTGATACACCACTAACAAATTTTTATCATCCATCACGAATCTCGGTGCAATTTTTTGAATAAAAAACATTCAAACTTCAATTAAGAGTCATCCGGAGCTCCGATTTCAGCAAACTTATAGTCAAACTGATCGGCTCGATGAGACGGACCTAATGATATGAAAGTTAGTCCAATCCGAGTCAAATCAGCCCGAATCAAATCATTAACCCACTATTAAAGGATTTCCAGAGGTATTTGAAAGGTCAAACAAATGTTGAATCTAGCGAATTTATAGTAGAATCGAGCGTCTCAAAAAGATGAATCCAATGAGCCCAAGATTGCTCAACTCCGACATCGTTAAGACACTCAAATGTCCATCAAACGTCATCTAATCAAGGGAAACTCTCTGGACCGTCTAACCAAAATAGTTTATATTTCTGCATTAATTGCACTTAAAACACTATAAATAGAGCCCTCACCCCTCAAATGAAGGAGGAGGCTTAAGAAAGAACTTAAGATTTTGAGAACGAGCTCAAGTCCAAGATCAACCTCGCCAACGTTGATCACCGTCGATCACTGCTGACCTTCGTCGACCACCGCCGACTGTCATCTATTGTCGTCGACAACCGTCGATCACCGTCGCCTTCCATCAACCACCGCTGACTAGACGTCATCAGTCGACAAGGGACATCTGTAATCATCAAGTTATAGTGAATTTTTGCAACTGAGTTAAACCATGTGATTTTTCTCATTTACAGGTTTTTCACGTAGAAACTTTTGGTGTTAACACAGCTTGATTCATTTTCATCTGAGTGTGTGATGAATCCTATCACAACGCTGAGACGATAATCCATTACTCTACCGCCGCTAATTTTTTAGCACTCATCACACACACACACACACACACACACACACACACAGATACACACACACACACACAGATATATTCAAATTTCTCAAAAGTAACGATCCCAAAAACTTAATTTGCCGCACTTAAATCCCCGAAGGAAAAAGAGCAACCGCAGCTAGGGCTGTCAAAAAAACTCGTTGTTCGCTAACAGTTCGTGTTCGGTTTGTCAATGAATTCGTGTTCGATTCGTTCGATAAGTAAACGAGACAAACGCGAACAAATTTTTTTCGTTCGGTTAGTTAAACGAAGCAAACACGAACAGTGATGCGTTCGTTCGTGTTCGAATCGTTATTGTTTGAAATATAAAATAATATAAAATAATTATATATAAAAAATTTATTATATTTTAAAACATTAAATTTTATAAATTATAATATATAATAAAATAATAATAATAATATATTAATATACTATAGTAGTAAT